TTATTTGATGCAATAGCTTCATAGCATCTATAGTCTTTACAGTTTGGTATGTTTTTGCAGTGACTGGTACTGGTTGTTCCTTTCCATGTTTAGTGCTTTCTTCAGGTACTCTTGTAGGGCAGGCCTGGTGGTAACAAAATCTCTCAGCAGTTGCTCGTCCATAAAAAATTTTATTTCTCCTTCACTTATGAAGCCTTAGTTTGGCTGGATAATAAAATTCTGGGTTGAACATTCTTTCTTTAAGGATGTTGAAGATTGGCCCCTACTCTCTTCTGGCTTGTAGAGTTTCTGCCAGGAGATCCACTGTGAGTCTGATGGGCTTCCCTTTGTGGGTAACTTGACCTTTCTGTCTCGTTGCCCTTAGCATTTTTTCCTTCATTTCAACCCTGGTGAATCTGATGATTATGTGCCTTGGGATTGCTCTTCTTGAGGAATACCTTTGTGGTGTTTTCTGTATTTCCTTTGTTTGAATGTTGACCTGCCTTGCTAGGCTGGAGAAGTTCTCCTGGATAATACCTGAAGAGTGTTTTCCAACTTGGTTTCTTTCTTGCCATCACTTTCAGGTACACTGATCAAATGTAGATTTGGTCTTTTCACATAATCCCATGTTTCCTGGGGCTTTGTTCATTTCTTTTCACTCTTTTCTCTAATCTTGCCTTCTCACTTTATTTCATTGAATTGATCTTTAATCTCTGATATCCTGTCTTCCACTTATTGATTCGGCTATTGAAACTTGTGTATGCTTCACAAAGTTCTCACGCTATGTTTTTCAGCTCCATCTTGTCACTTATGTTCTTCTCCATGCTGGTTATTCTCATTAGCATTTCATCTAACCTTTTTTCAAGGTTCTTAGTTTCTTTGCATTGGGTTAGAACATGCTCCTTTAGCTTGGAGAAGTTTGTTATTACTCACCTTCTGAAGTCTGCTTCTGTCAATTTGTCACACTCATTTTCTATCCTGTTTTGTTCTCTTGCTGTTGAGGGATTGTGATCCCTTGGAGGAGAAGAGACATTCTGGCTTTTGGTGATTTCAGCCTTTTTGCACTAGTTTATTCCCATCTTCATGGATTTATCTACTTTTAGTCTTTGAAGGTGGTGACTTTTGGATGGGATTTCTGATTGGATGTCCTTTCTGTTGATGTTGAAGCTATTTCTTTCTGTTTGTTAGTTTTCCTTTCAACATTCAGGCCCCTCTGCTGCAGGTCTGCTGGAGTTTCCTGGAGGTGTACTCCAGACCCTGCTTGCCTGGGAATCACCTGCAGGGGCTGCAGAACAGCAAAGGTTGCTGTCTGTTCCTCCTTCTGCTAGCTTCATCCCAAAAGGGTACCTGCCACATGTTAGCCAGAGCTCTCTTGTATGACGTCTCTGTCAGTTTGGTTACACAGGGGATCAGGGAGCCATTTGAGGAGGCAGCCTGTCCTTTAATGGAGCTCAAGCACTGCTGGGGGATCCATTGCTCCCTTCAGAATTGCCAGGCAGGGATATTTAAGTCTGCTGGTGCGGAACCCACAACTGCCCCTTTTCCCAGGTGTTCTGCCCCAGGAAGGTGGGGGCTTTGTAAGTCCCTAACAGGGTGCTGTCTTTTTTTTTCTGAGATGCCCTGCCCAGCAAGAAGGGAATCTACTTGACAATCTGCCTGCAGAGGTCTTGCTGAGTTGCCGTGCTGGGCTCTGCCCAGCTGCCACGTAAACTTCCTGGTGGCTTTGTTTACACAGGCAATGTTGAAATCGCCTAACGGAGCCTCAGCAGTGGCGGGTGGCCCTCCTCCCACCAAGCTCAAACATCCCAGGTTAAGCTTGGGCTGCTGTGCTAGCTGTGAGAATTTCTAGCCAGTGGATCCTAGGTTGCCGATCTTCATGGGGGTGGGACCTGCCTAGCCAGCTCGCTTGGCCCCCTGGCTTCAGCCCCCTTTTTCAGGGGGAATGAGCTTTTCTGTCTCACTGGCATTCCAGGTGCCACTCAAATAAAACAGCTATCCAGTTTTGTGCTGGAATCCAGAAGCACTGGTGTTGTAGGCACTGGAGGGAATCTCCTGGTCTGCACATGGGAAAAGTGCAGCATCTGAGCTGGAGTGTCGGAGTGTCTGGAAAAGTTCCTAATGGCTTCCCTGGGCTGGGGGAGAGAGTTCTCTGGCCCCTTGCACCTCCTGGGTGAGGCCATGCCCCACCCTGCTTTGCCTTGTGCACATTGGGCTTTTCCCACTGTCTAACCAGTCCCAATGAAATGAACCTGGTACCTCAGCTGGAAATGTGGGTATCACTTGTCTTCTGGTGTGCTCTCACTGGAAACTGCAGACCGGAGCTGTTCCTATTTGGCCGTCTTTGTGGAAGTCCTTTTTTTCTTTTTTTAAAATTTTAGAATCTTTCAGTTATTTCTTTTCATATTTTTTATCACACACTTTATTTATTTATTTATTTATTATTGCATTTTAGATTTTGGGGTGCATGTGAAGAACATGCAAGATTGTTGCATAGGTACACACATGGCAGTGTGATTTGCTGCCTTCTTCCCCATCACCTATATCTGGCATTTCTCCCCATGCTCTCTCTCCCCAACTCCCCACCCCCCGCTGTCCCTCCCCTGTTTCCCCCCAAGAGACCCCAGTGTGTGATGCTCCCCTCCCTGTGTCCATGTGTTCTCATTGTTGAACATCCACCTATGAGTGAGAACATGCGGTATTTGATTTTCTGTTCTTGCATCAGTTTGCTGAGAATGATGGTTTCCAGGTTCATCCATGTCCCTACAAAGGACATGAACTCATCGTTTTTTTATGGCTGCATAGTATTCCATGGTGTATATGTGCCACATTTTCCCTGTCCAGTCTATCATCAGTGGGCATTTGGGTTGGTTCCAGGTCTTTGCTATCACCACAATTTAAATATTTTTGGTATTACCCTCATTTTTCTGATTTTCTATAGTCTGTGTTCCTATGTTCACTCATTGAATATTATTCAATTTTTAAAATTAATATATACATTTATAATGGTTTCTTTCTAAAATTTTATACTACTTTTGATGGGATTATATTGCCCTATTTTTTACATATTGTAATTTTTGAGATTTGGACATTTATAAAGGCTACCTGTCTCAAAATTTATAATGTAGCTTTGTCCCGGCATAGTCAGAAAACAGTGGTTTTTTTCTAGAGATTATGGAGATCTGTCAAACATCTTCAGCTTTGTGTTGTCTGAAATTTTGTGTTTACTATTAGCTAAAGGAGATTATGTTTCTTTTGAAAAGTAATCACTTGCTACACCTGGTCTTTCTCTGTAGCACTGCAGTGCTCTGCTGCAGTGAATTCACCTTTAGCCTCAGAAGACTCATATTATAGTCATTTCAAAGTATAGCACCATTTCTTTTACCATTTTATGTAATGAGAGACAGAAATCAGTGTGTGGAAAGCCCCATAGGAGCCAGAAATTAAATTTTATGTGTTAATACTTTACTTGTCTTTAAAAAAAAAAAA